CCCTTTCTCCCTCCTTTTCTCTTTCTTTCACAGTGGACAGTAGTTAATGCAGAGGCTCAGAGCTGGTTAAAGTGCTGAGAATGAGTGGCACAAGTGGCTTTTGAGTGCTCAGCCCTGACTAGGACATCTATATTATCCCTCCAGGCCAGGGAACATTGCCGAGGAAGGAGTGAGAAGATTACAAGAACTGGAGGGTGTAATGAATGCTGCAAAATGCGGTCTTCTAGGTATGACATGCTACGGTATCAATGAACTCACAGCAGCAGTACTACTTGGACAAGACCTGCACAAGACTGGGCCCATCAACACTCCATCACTGATGGGGGAGGGCCTCATAAGGCCTCACTCTTCCCCAAGGAACTATGGGTACGGGCAGTTAGAGGTTGGAGGAGGAGGAGGAGGAGGAGTCACAGTTCTCAGCGTAGCCACTGGCACACTGCCCTTGCTCAGGTAAATAACCCCCCCCCGCCATGTACCATGTTCATGCAGAAAACCCTAATTAGATGCAGTGACTCATAAAATAGACATGAAAATAAGAGGAAGAAGAAGGGGTAGTGGGAGAGGGAAGGGGATGAGAGGAACCTTGATGGTTCCTGTGCGGCTCAAGTAAGATCATTTGGACCAATCTGTTTTGGTTTTCAAGCTGCTGAGCAATGTCCATAATTCAACTTTAGTCATGGTGATTAACATATATAGGCAAATAGAGGAACATGGTTGGGTTGGGAATATCAGTGAACAGATTGGCGGTAGGTTGATATGTTCAGGTCAGTGACTGGAAGTGTTCAAAATACTGCTCTCTATACAAATGTCACAATACAGTCTTTATTTTTTTTTAATTTTTAAAAATACCGTGGGTGTCTCTCTTGTAGCCCAAGCTGGTCTCAAACTGTGTCAATCATCTTGCCTCAGCCTCCTAACTGCTGGGATTACAGGTGTGAGCCACCATTCTGGATTCACAGAGCGTCATATAATTTGCAATAACAACATCAGGAGGGATTGTTGCTGTCTGAGGAGAGACTGTGTAGGGAGACAAGACAACTGTTGCGCTTTTCTCTCACTGCATGCTACTGGTCAGTTTTGATTGCGGGAGCCGAAAGATGCAGGAGCGTGGACCCGGGGCAAGGGACCAGGGGGCCAGAAGCAGGGGTCAGGGGAGGGGGTCGGGGGAAGGGAGCCAAGGCTGGGAGGCGATGCTCACCTTGGTCACAGTGGATGCCATACTTGCCCTCTGTACAGGTTTCACAGGCTGTCCCGTTGAAGCCCTGCCCACACTTGCACAAGCCCATGCCATTCACACCATCCAGACAGATGCCATTCCCAGAGCACATATTCTGACCTGTCCCAGGGCAGGCCTGGCACTGCCGGCCAAAGAAGCCGGCACAGCATGCTCTTGTCTGAAAAAGGAGGATTCGACTGGGCACATGCTTCTCTCTTCTGCTCTGGGGACTCTGGGACGCTGAGCCTACCTGTTTCTTAGACCCCAGAGCTTGTGAGGGGTGTGGACAGAGCCCTTGGAGGCCTGGATGGGGCTCAGCAATTTCCCAGGTCACTTGTTAGTCACCCAAGGTTTGGGAGAGGGAAAATCCAAAGGTAACTAAGCGATGAGGAGGAAGAAAGCGGAGGATGGGCGGCAGGAACAAAGCAAGGAACCACACACATAAGCCTGGTGTGGTGGTACATGCCTGCAATCCTAGTGCTTGGGAGGCTGTGGAAGGATGGCCAGTGTGTGGACAGCCTGGGGAGGCTCTGCCTCAAACAACAGCCCCCATCCTACCCTTTTTTAAAACAGGGTTTCACATAGCTTAGGCTGGCCTTGAACTTCTGATCATCTTCCCCTATCTCCTGAGTGTTAGGATTATAGGCTGGTGCTCCTGAACAGCTCCAAACAAGAAAGAATAACGCATCAGATGCTAGAGGAGTGGTAGAACCAACAGGCTGTCAGCATCCCCACCCAGGGATCCTTCTCAATGGATGTTATTTCATTTACTACAGGCCTGGATCCCTTTGGCATTTTATGAGTCTTTCACAGTTCAGGGAAGTCCTGTAGGTCTGTTTGGCTTTGGTCTGCCTTTATTCTCAAGTACATTAAAACTCCAAACCTCTTCTAATCCAACACTCTGCAGCTTAAACCCTAACCCCCTTGGAGGAAGAGGTCCCATTCTCCGAGGAAGAAGAAGGACAGGAAGTCATAAGGAACTTTCTGGAAAATTCTGACATGACATCCAGAGATACTGGGTTCTTGGGGTCCGATTTTCTGAATGACTAAAGAGTCCTGGTCTCCCCTTAGTGACTTCCTTTGTCTCTTCCTTAACATTTAACTAATTAACTAATGTAATTAGGTTTAATTGTACAGGCACCTGTGTGTGTGTGTGTGTGTGTGGTGGGGCTCTTCACCTCTCAGACCCTCAATTTCTTCCTTCCAAAATGGGATGCTTTGGTTTTCACCCATTTCTGATTTGCAGGCTTTTTTGTTTTCTTGTTATCACTACTACTTGGGTGACGATGGTGAAGATTAGTAGGAGGAAGAACACCTGCAGACGCATTCTGAAAAGTCTAGATATGATTGAGTTTCCCAGCATTACTTAGGATGGCTAGATCATACTCACAATGACAGTTTTTACACACTTGGTCTGGCACCCAATGAATGCGGATCTCTTCCCCATGAAATAAATGGTGTAGATGCATTTCCTCATCTCATCACCCTATGAAATAGTAAGGAGGTTAGCAGCCCTTCCTGAGGAAAGTGGATTTCGTATTTCTGTAAATAGGGAAGTGGGTGGGGCTTTTCCCTCCTAGAAAGGAAGGCTGCAGCTTCTTGGTGCTGCTTCATAAGCTAGAAAACAAACAAAACCTCACGGTGTTGGCTGCAGCATGCCAGGTGGAAAATCCAAACAGTTCCATTGTAAAGAAGTGTTCTATGAGAAGAACATTTCTCTAGAAGACTAAGTCAATTTGGGAATAACTGTAAAATAAAGCAGATAAAAATGTCCTTCCAGCCCAGTATATTCATTGAGTTAAGTTTGAGCTTCAACATGTGAATTGACTTATATTCTGTCCAGTCTAAGAAATAATTGCTTGCTCATAAAGACTTATAGTACAAGATCAAATTAAAACTCAAGTGAGAAATTCAGTATTTTTAAACTTAGTTTAAAATGCTTTATATAAATTCTTATGATGGACCTGAGAGTTGTAGGGTTAATCAAAATCATTGATTTGGACACCCCAGAATACTCATCATTGGTTTCATTATTCATTTTTTTATCATAGATTATTATAATTATGCTATGGAAGGCACACAAGTGCTTATTCTTTGTAATGGTTGTTAGCAGAAGTGGTTCTCAGAAAAAAGCTACCGGTAACACAGAGTGGTAATTAATTCAAAGATGTTTGCTTCTCTCATATTTGCATCTGTTTCTTTGAGAGTCACTTGTAACTTCAATTATGAAAAGAAACCAGGCGGGTAGCATGTATTGGGGTGGGCTCTGGTTTGGGACAGGGAGTCTGTTTTCTCTGATAAAGCATCTTGCTGCTGTCCTTCACTAGTGAGTATAAAAGATTCAGAAAGTGAAAAAAATACCTTCTTGCATTGCATATTGGTTTATGGGCTCATTTCTATTTAGTCATTAATTGAATTTTACCTTGGTTCCTCAAAAATGCATATAAGACTACAAAGATGCATCCCTTAGGGAGAAGGGTTGTGAAATACTGTCTTCTGGGCATGACACAGCTAGTATAATTAGGATCTCACAGCAGCTGTGGTTGCCTGCACTGAGCCTACCTACAACAGTCAGTCACAGATGGGAGGAGCCCATGGACCATATCTCTTTTGGGGGAACTATTGGTTATAATGGATGCTGGGAGGAGTCCTTGTCTTTAGGTATATATCCAGGGCTGAGCCCACCAGGGACCTATGGGTAATTCCACATCCATGTACATAGACAGCCCTGGTTAAACTCAGTGGCTTACAAAACAAAACAAAACAAAACGACATGAAGATAGGAAAGGGACTTGTAGGAGGAGGGGCATTGACAGGGGTGTGGGGGGGTATGAGTATTCAGAATGTATTATATACATGTATGAAACTGCCAAATAAATTTTACTGAAATAAAAGTAAAATTTAAAAAATGAAAAGGAGGAAGTGAGCAGAGCACAAGCACTCATTGCTCTCCACTTCCTGACTGGGTGCAGTGTGACCAGCTGCCTCTAGCACCTGCTTCTGTGTATTCCCTGCCATGATGGATTGTGACCTTGAACTGTGAGCCAAATAAACACTTTCTCTCTCTTATAAAAAGAGGTACATACTATATAATAAAGTAGAATTAATACCTAAGGAGGGAAGGAAGGCAGTGAAACTGAGGTGTGCTTGTGATTTGCTTTCTAATTTGGGTGCCTTCTTATTTGTAGATTATTTTACCAAAGATGGGAAAAAATTACTTACGAGTGGTTTAGTTCCGAGTGGGGAGACTGCTTGCTGGGGACACTCCCCACACTTTCCCTTGGTAAATGCAGAAACAAATAGGATATTCCAAGGTTATTAATTTTAATACAAAATGAAGCTGTGAATATGAGCCCAAAGCTGTGGGTTTTAGAATGCAGAACTGGGAATCAGTTCTGGGAACTGGGAACATCTGCTCAATGTCTTTAACACTGAGACAAACACTTCACTTCAGGTCTTGCATGCCTGAACATTGCTTTTTCCTTACAATAGTCCTGACTCTAATAACCCTTTAACACATGGAAGTCTTTACTCACTTAAATCTGAATTGCTTTAGCAGCTACTCCACTTATTGATCTACTGGAACCTCTGTTTAGTGGGTCAGAGGCAGAGATTAACAATGTGTCATACACAGTGCCCACCTTGGGGGCATGTGGTCTTGCTGATGGCAGCAGACATCTGTGCTACTCCACAGAAATAGCACATACAAAGAGCTAAAGTTAAGAATGGCACAAACTCTTGCATGTTATCTAAAATAGAAGGAGGTCAACGTGTCTAGTTTTTAGCTTGGTATCTGCTTGACAGTGTAGTGTCACTGTTGAGAGTTCTGTTTCTAGGGCCACGCTACCTGGATTTGAACCTCTTCTCTGCCATTGCTAATGAATGAATAAAGATGCATTATCTAACCTTATTATGGCTTATTTTCCCTCCTGTAAAATGGGAATAGTCATATTACTTACATTTTAGGGTGCTATGAGGATTAAATGGGTTAATACAAGCAAAATGTTTAGAGCGATACCAGGTGCATATCTATTACCTAATAGATATCAGCAGCTGGGGCTGGAGCGATGACTCAGTGGTTAAGAGCACCGGCTACTCTTGCAGAGGACCCAGGTGCACTTACAGGCATGCAGGCAACACACTCATTCACATAAAATAATAAAAAATACCAGCAGTTGTTACTATTTCTGAAAGATCCTACACTGTCTCACAGACTGCCGTGGAAAGCTTTCATTATTGCATGACATGTTACACTGAATTCATCCATTTCCATACTCCTCATCTAGTAAATCAGGCTTAGCCAATGCCTGCCAGAGGCACACCAGGAACCCCTCACTGGCATGATTTCCTTTTGCAAAGGAGCCAAGGCTTCAGAATCCTGCTCTTTCCTCAACACAGTCCTCCAGATAACCTTTCCCAGGCATACCAAGTACATTCTATCACATTAGGCGAAAAGCCCATTGAGCACTGGGACGTGGAACATTGGGATGTGTTTTACTGGGCTGTAAAGTGTAGCCTGATTTTGGTACATTGGATATTCACTGAGTAAAAATTTTTTTTTTTTTAGTACTGGTGATTGAACCCAGAGCCTCATCCACACTAGGCAAATGCTCTACACAGAGCTACGTCCCAGTTGTAATAACGGAGTTTTGGGATTAAACTGAGAATACTCTAACAGAAAAATTATTAAGCTTAAAAATTACTTTAAAACAAACCATCAACCATTATTCTCATTGGTCCTAGATACAACTTACTCGTAAAATAGTGGTGTCATTTTTGTCACATCTATTCTTCTGAATTTCCAGAACTTTCCCCAGGCCATGGATCACTCCTTTATCAGTGGCTACATTTGTATAGTTTATTAGAGCCTCATTTACATATAGCTGTGAACAATAAAATCAAATATGACTTTATTAAGGTGGCATGAGGGGAGACATGGAGGCTCTCATTATGACAACAGCCCAATTCAGTTTACCTAGAAAATAGTACATTGTGTGGATAAAGCTCTAGCTTGGAGAGGGGAGGCTGAGTCATAACCCTGCATCTGGTACCATGTATCTGAGTGATATGGGGCCAACTGCTTCCCCTCTCTGAACCTCAACATTTCCTTTTGTAAAAGGAACAGTTTGTTCTAGATAATACGTAGTGTATTTCTCTATCATCTCTCAAATTAATTGGTTTATGTTTGTTTGAAAATTACTGCTTTATGATCCTTATGCTCATGCCCATAGGCAAGCTGGCCTTGTGGACATGCTCAGTTGTCTTGCGGTTTGGTAGTCCACAAGGTGTGGATGCCTCTCATAACCAAGACACAACACAATTTATCCTTTCAGCACATCTCTATCCCTGGCTAATTTGCAGGGAACTCTCCAGGAAGTTAAATGACAATGAGGCAGAGAGAGGAAGACTTATTATACTAAGGAGAAAATGTGTTAGTCTTCAATAAGGAATTTAAATTCATAAAATAATACATTAGGGGGCAGAAGAGATGGCTCAGTGGTTAAGAGCCCTGGCTGCTCTTGTAGCGGACCCAGGTTCGAATCCCAGCACCTACATGGCAGTTAACAACTGTCGTAACTCCAGCTCCAGGGGATTTAACATCCTCTTCTTACCTCTATGGATGCACTTACATACATATAAACAATTCACTCATACACATAAAAATAATAAAATAAAATATGAAAAAATATATTGGACAGTATCATCAACACTTTCTACTGTAGCAATATTAAAAACGACCCTATTAAGAGCTTACATTTGAATTGCCCCTGAATACTACAGTCTCAGATGACTGGCTTGCAGTGAAGTGGATTTCTGTTTGGATGTTGGGATAAGTCATGACTGAGCTCAGACTGGTATCTTGTGGTCAGTGTACATTCAGAAAATCATTAGGAAAAGCATTTGATCTCAAATGGTGGGCATAGCACAAATTTCTAGAATTCGAAGGTGTGAGCCATTTTTGAATATCCAAACAGCAGAATATTTGATTTAATTCTTCTTAATTTGGCATTTAAAGAGTCTGAATCATTTCCGTCATGAGATGTATCCAGAGAATTATGGGTTGCATTTGAAATTTGATATAAACACACCTACTCAATTAGAAAGTACTTTCCCTCCTCTTCCATTGTTATGAGAGAAAGTAAATGACTCTCAGTAAGAGCAAAGATTCTATTGTGTGCATAATACTTGCTCTAAATCAGATAATTTCTACACTAATGGAAAATGAACATCATAGCACTGAAAACTGATTCAATTAGCAACATTCAAATATTCATCTCTACATGATGAAATAAAGATGATAGATGAAAAACAAAAAAATGAAAGCTCCCTATCAATAAGGTAATTTCCAACTCTGGAAATAAAAAAAAAGCGTTTAAAAGGAAAATGTATTTAGCTAGACTCTTAATTCCCCAGATGAAGTCAGAGAAAAATATTTGAAATAAGAGTCTCCAAGTAATGAAGAAAAGAACAGATAGATCCACTTTAAAAATTCTCTAGTTTATGACCTCCTCTATCGGGGTAGCTGCTAGGAACTTAGCAGACCGCCAGAGTGTGCTGGGTTCTGGCCTCTCTCTGGCCTCCAACTACCAGAGGGCCTGAAAACCCAGGGGACAGCCTGACAGCCCCCAGATCCTGCCTCCCTGTGGTGGTGAGCTTCCCCTAACTGCACCATACCATCCCCCAACCTGGGATTTTGTGAGGCCCCTCCCAAGGCTCCAGGGCAGATCTGCCTTTGGTAGGCTAAAGCTGAGATCCTAGCAGACAGCCTGAGAGGGTGGGTTAGGACCTCCATCAGGGTAGCTGCTCAGGGCTCAGTAGATCACCAGAGTGCTGAGTTCTGGCCACCCTCTGGCCTCCCTCTCGCATAGGGTTGACAACACACAGGACTGCCTGAGAGAGCCTAGATCCTGCCCCTCCCAAGGCCCCAGGGCAGATCTGCCTTTGGTAGGGTAAGGCTTGGATCTCTGCAGCCCACCAGAGAGTTCAGGCTCCCCTCCGGCCTCCTTCTGGCATAGGGTTGACAACACACAGGACTGCCTGAGAGAGCCTGGATCCTGCCTCCACATGGTGAAGGAAGCCTGAGTATACCTGACTAGAACCTGAATTGCACATCTATTGTACTCCTGAATCGCTGATCTGAAGCCATCAGTT